TCGGGCATCAACTAACCTCATGGGGAGGAGAAGTACCAGGAGGGGAGAACTCACCAGTGATTTTGGGGATGCCCTCTAGCCTGGGTACAGGCAGCAGCACAATGATGCCCTGGTCGGTGCCAACCCATAACAGTCCCTGGCAGATCAGCAGGCTGGTGACACGGACATTTTTCTGGCCTGTTGGAAGAGAGATAGGAGTGAGCATCTATCCACCCTCTGGTGAGGTTTCGGTGCCAAGAGGAGCAGCAAGATGGGTACCAGGAGAGGCATCCTGGCAGGGCATAGCTATGAGCTGGAGAGGACGATGGCATCGGGGGAAGAGCCCCAGGGGATGAAGGATGATGAGGTTTTAGCGGCAGACTTGCACACGGTGAGAGAAGGACTGGGGGGCTGGCTGGAGAGGGCTGGGGGGACTCGCAAGCTCTGAAAGGCGCCTGAGAGAACATGGCACCCGAATAGGTGGGGCGAAGCAATGGCAGGGGGTGAACCGAGAGCTGCTGGCCCTCGACCACCGCAAGGCGTGCAGCTGCTGGCACTAGGAAGCACCTGCGCCAGGGTAAAGCAAGCCGCCGGGCCCCAGCGCCAGGGTAAAGCAAGCCGCCGGGCCCCAGCGCCAGGCTGGCAATGCGCTGGCAACCCTTCGAAGGCACGACTCCAACCCCATGTTTTACACTCTGAATGCACGAGCGCCTCTGCCTTGCAAGAACAGAATAGCCCATTGTTTCTAGGCACAGACAATGAGACGGATAATTCGCTGCCGTGAATGAACATGTTTTCGATGTCAGGCCAGATTAGTTCTTCCTACATGATCAGCGCCGTGGTGTCTCCTTGCTTTCGTGAGAGCCGCGGCAAGGTTCAGCAGGACCAGGAAGGAAGGTGGGGTGGCCCGGGCAGCGAGGGGAGGGGACACTGCGCCAGTCCCGTGCCGAGATGGGCTGTGGGGGAGGGCAGGGTGGTTGATCCATGGGGCAGGTGGGACCAAAAGGGTTAGGGAAGGTCTTGCCTTTCTGCTGCCTGCCGGAGCCGAGGCTGGCTCACTCCACGCACAGCCCTAAGTCAGATGAGCAAGCAGGACATGTAGTACACGAGCTTTCATGCCACAGGCTGCAAGGTGCAAGTTGCTTGGGGATACCAGGCTGTCTGAGAAGATGATCTCCCCATTCCTCTCCAACACAGTATGCCCTTTGAATCTCCACCTTGGCTAGATCCCACGCTGACCCCTCCATCCACCGTTTGCTCCTGCCACCCCCTGCTCTGCTGCTGAGCTAGGGAAACACATTGCCTGTTGGATCGTGGGTCTTGCAAGAAGCTGGGTGGCTTGAATGGCCTGCAGTGGCCCCGGGCAGAGCAAGATGCGGCAAAGGGAGGCAAGGTGGGCAGACGTGGGAACAGTAAGAGACTGGAGGGGGATGTTTCCACTGCTGCAAAGCAAACCACCCACTGTCCAGCAGATGCTTCCCCAGCGATTAGCGCAGCGGCCGAGGCGCCCGCTGCACCTGCCCTCTCTCCCAGTGGACAATAAAGCCAATTCCACGGCTGCTCCCCTCCTAGGATGTGCCGCTGGTCTCCCCAAAGTGCACTGCTGCTGCTCAGCCATCCCTGCACTAAGCCAGGCCTGTGCTCCTCTCCCTGAGCCCCTCCACATCCCTCCAGCATAGGCGTGCAAGCTGGGGTTCACCTCGGGCCCGATGGTTCGTGGCACCTGATACTGCTCAGCAAGAGCCACGAAGGGACTTGCAGAGAGCAGCACCGGGCTGAAGGCATCCCATGCCCTGGCTGGAGCCCCACTGCTCGGTCACTCCATTATCAATATTTCACATGTGCACACCTGGGAGGAAAGCACACATCAGATGAGGATTGTGACCCTGGCAGCCCTAAGTGCATGCTAAGAGTTATGCGCGCTCTCTCTCTCTCATTAAGGCCTCATCTTCATTTAGCAGTCACCAGCCTCACTGCCAAGTCCCAGAGGCTATTTTTCTTTCCCTCCTCCCGACTGAAGTCACAGTTATACCAGGACAGTGGTGCACTACAGAGGTGCAGCTTATTTCCCAAGAGGGCAGTGAGCTGCCTCAGTACACACCAGCGAGGAGAGCTCGCCTTATCTTCACCAGGCAACGAATTCAAGAAGCACAACGTGCCAGCACAGCCCAAGGGCCAGATCCTACTCACCTCTTCAGCACTTAAGTGGACTTTGGTGCCCAAACATGATCCCCTTCCACATTGCTCACGTCTCTAAGAAGAGTAACAGGCCTAACATTTGTCCCTTCACACTAAGTCACAAGCAGAATCATAGAAAGTTAGTGCTGGAAGGGACGTCAGGAGCTCGCATCTAGTCCACTCCCCTGCTCCAAGCAGGCTGTCCCCAGCTACATCATCCCAGCCGAGGCTTTGTCTAGCTGGGTTTTGAAGGATGGAGGCTGCACCACCTCTCTATGTAACCTGTTCCAGTGTCTTACTACCCTCCTAGGGAGAAAGTTCTTCCTAATATATAGCCTAAACTTCCCTTGCTGCAACTTGCCTCGCAGCAGCCGTAAGCAGAAGGAAGACCCCACCACCTTTTGCATTAACTGTTTTGAAGGGACTTGAGCAAGGCAGAGAAGGGTCCCACCGAGCTGCTCACCCCTTCCCCAGATTCTCCCTCCTGCCCCAGGGGGGTGTGGGGTCACCCATGAGGCCAGGGGAGCCTGTGGCCAAAGGGGCTGAGGATGAGTAGGGTCGGACTCAAAGCACCCACAGCACAATGGGGCCGTGACCTCAAGTGAGACCTCTCAACGCTACCGTTGCAAAGTCCCCAGCTCTCCTGCAGGTGGGATCCTCTCCCCTTCTCCAAGAAGGGAAGATCAAGCCTAAAAAAAAAGTATAAAAATTTCTAATGGCAAATAAATATTTTATCACAGAGACTTAACGCTGCGACGTCGGACTCGCCGAAGCAATATATCTGCAGAGATGCAACTGGAAAAAGCCCGGGCTCGCTGCAAAGACTTTATTAATGACCTGTCTAGTTAAAAAGGATGAGGGAGCTTAAGTTCAGAAATGCATTAATACCAAAACGCTCACTCTCCCAGGAAGAAAAGGAAGTGATAAATTTTTTAACATGCCCTTAAAAAAAAAGCAGCTACTTACACGAGTACTGCATTTATTACTAATTACACAGTTAGTCCGATCAGTAGCTGGAGTCAGGGAGGAGGGAGGACAAAAGACTTCAAAGCCGAGGGGGCTGAATGACAAATTCTTCCCCATTGGTTTTCCTCCTCTTTAAAAGGCTTACACACACCTTGAATATCACCGGAGATGGATATGGAGCACAGCTCTCCATCCCAATCCGCCTGGCAAGTCTGGGTCAAAACCTGTGAATTGGGGACCGAATCCAAGCCGGTCTGTTCTGCGGTCTCGGGTCCAGGCAGGCATGTAGCTGCACTGATGCGGATGCAGCAGGAAGAAAAAGCCCCTGTCTGCATGGAGGATACAAAACTACAGCTGGGTACTTGAATTTTCTCTGCACGAGGCACTTGGTTGGCGCGTGGACAAGCTCCGAGGCAGAAAAGGCTGCCTCAGATGCCACTCGAGGATACTCTACAACTTCCATCCTCGCAGCGTCCTACAAGCTTAATCCTACAGGCACGAACAGGACCAGAAACTGCTCCTTCTTGCTAACAGCCTCGGCAGAGATCAGGAGCTGAGCGTCCTACAAGCTTCTCACCTTTTGAAGGGACAAATTCTCCCAGGTCAGGAGTCTTAGCAGGGGACAGGTTGGCATGTCTCTATTCTGGGGGTTATTGCTAGGGTTTTCTCCACTTTGGTTTAGAAGAAGGCAGCGTTTGCTGCATCCCTGCAGGCTTTCAAAAACTTTAGCACTGACAGGCATCGGCATGACAAGAGGATCTTGGCTTCCAGCGAGTTCCCGGCGCCTGCTCTCCATCTTCCCACTAGACACAGTTATCCTTTGCGATATCACAACTGGTTGCCTTGAAAACAACTAATCCAACACGTCAACTGAGGAAGATGTGGGGGCAAACAGGGGGAAAGAACAAACGAGCTGGGCCAGAACAAGATACTCAGTTGGATGCAGGCAGCCCTGGTAATAAAATAAAAAGGAGCAGATGGAGGAGAATGTGGAAGAGACGATCCTTGGGTAGACGTATCTCCGGGAAGAAGCAATAAAGGACTTTGTGATTTAAGGACTTGTCTACATTAGGAAAAACTTTACCTGGGTGTAACTGCAGGCAATTTGTGCATGCATCTCTTACAGAGGCACTGGACTAGTGCAAAAACTAGAGCTGTGAGTGTCCATTTGCACAAGAGCAGCGTGCCTATTCATCGGTATAACTGGAGAGACGTCGCTACTCTGGCATTAATTTTCTCAAGCAGACAAGTGCTAGGATTCCTCCCAGCCTCTTTTTAAGCAGCACGTGGGGATCGTGGGATTGTGAAAGATGCCGGGCTGACAACTTAAAAGACTGAAGTTCTGTATTTATTTGCAGGGCAGGACCCAGAGACCTTTCCCTCCGGGAGCCCTGCCAGCGCGCCTCGCCTGCGACCTGCAGGGACTGACCCTGCCTCCAGCGAGAGCAACACCCATGGCCTGTGCAGTTTTTGGCTTCTCTGCCAAGGATGCCAGGAAGCAGCGAAGGTTTTCTGCGGACGCTTGTCCACCGGGAGCCGCACTCTGAACTCGGATGATTGCTGTATCGCTGACCAGCCTTTCGGGGGTGGCGGGGGGGAGTGGCGTTTCAGATCACAAGTGCCTCGATATACATTTTAATGCAATCAAGTGAAGTAATTGGGCCAGGCTGATGCTGAAAATAACTTTTCAGAATGAGAGCGTTGAACAAAGCAGACACAATGAAGCGCCGCTTCGCATAATGCAGTCCTTCCCCTGCTTCTCACCCACACGCACACCTGAAACCCCTTCCAAGGGAGGTAGTGATCACTGGCCTTTTTTAAGACTGAGAAAGTGAAATACAGAAAGATTAAGGAGTTTGAGCATGGTCCCTGCATGCATAAATGCCTCCCCTACCCTGTGAAGCCCTCCGATAAATCAGGCTACAAGTATCCTGTTGCAGTGGTTCACTGAATTATAAAAAATTTGGGCTGGAATGGACTCAGGAGGTCACATCTAGTCCAACCCCCTGCTCCAAGCAGGACCAGCCCCAACTGCATCATCCCAGATGGGGCGTTGTCTACCCAGTCTTAAAAACCTCCAAGGATGGAGACTTCACAACCTCTCTGGGTAACCTGCTTCCGTGCTTCACCACCTGCTTAGTGAGAAAATGTTTCCTAATATCCAACCTCAACCTCCCTGGCTCCAACTTGAGCCCATTCCTCTTTGCCCTGTCATCTGAGACCAGCCCAGCTCCATCCTCTTTGCAGCTCCCCTGCAGGGAGATGAAGGCTGCTATTTAATCCCCCTCAGTCTGCTCTTCTGCAAACTAAATAAACCCATTTCCCTCAGCCTCTGCTCACAAGTCATGTGCCCCAGCCCACGAACCATTTCTGTTGCCCCAACTCCAACTTGTCCACATCCTTTCTGCAGTAGGGTGCACAGCTGGACACAGGACTCCAGATGTGGCCTCCCCAGTGCTGAATAGAGGGAAGAATCACTGCCCTCCGTCTGCTGGCAGTGCTCCTACCGATGCAGCCCAGGATGCCGGTAGCCTTCTTGGCAACAAGGGCACGCTGCTGGCCCCTATCCAGCTTGCTGCCCACTGTCACCCCCAGGTCCTTTTCTCCAGAGCGGCTGCTCAGCCAGTTGGCCCCAAACCTCTAGCGGTGTATGGGATTTTTCCGTCCTAAGTGCAGGACTCATCTGCCAAGCGGATGAGGCACGGCGAGAGATGGGGCATAGAGGAGTCCAAATAGGAGGAGGGATGGGAGCAGAAAGGACGCTGGAAGCAAGGAGGAAGGTGCAATAGTGTAGCGGTGCAACAAGTGTGTGTAAGGCTGCAATTCAAGAGAATTTTTTTTTTGCAAAAAATTAGTTGGTCTAATGAAAGATATCACCTCTACTATGAGTCCCGATTGCTTTTTTCTCTAGACCAATACGGCTACAACCTGCATACCTGTGTTGCAGTGTGACACATAGTCTTACCCTTAGGGAGCCTGAAGGTGGAGTCAGGCTAACCTCTGATCATCATTTAAGAAGGGCACTTTACCTAGGGGACCACAGGCCACCCTCCCGTCCCACTAGGCATTGATAGGGCTCCTACAAGGCTGCAGACTAAGAGCTTCCTTCCTGAAGCAGCGTATTGGGATTAGGAAGTGATCTGGTCATGAATTCTTCCCCTTCCCTCCAAGAGTAGCTGGCGGTCTGTCAAGGATCCTAGGTCAGAGGCAGGGCAATGCCAGGAAAAGCACATGGCCAAGACAGCCTGCAGCTATACCCATCTCAAGGGGCCCGAGCTGTTTCCAGCGAGATGCTCCCAACGCCTCTCTGAGATTTTAGGGAGTAGCCTTCAGGACCTGCGCATGGAGCGGGTCCCGAAGGGCTGCCCACTGCCCTCCCCAGACCCTGCCTACCTGGCAGGACGAAGGTGGTCCGTGTCGCGATGTTGATCTCCTGCAGATGCTCCAGGGTCTCGGTGTGAAAGAGGCGGATGGAGGAGCCCGAGGAGAAAGCCATCCAGACGCCGCTGCCCGCCTTGATCATGTGAGTCACGCTGGCCTCCTTGTCCGGATGGGCCTCGAAGGTGTCCTGCAGGGGGGAGGAAATGCGGGGTTCAAGACAGGCTGAAGCCTGGGGGGCTCCAGCATCCTGAGCTGAAATAGTATCTCCCTCGGATGGGTCCACAGACCGCAGTACGGCCGGGGAGCCGCCCTGGGGGAGCAGTGACGATGGCCAGGAGGAAGCAGTCGAGATCCCCTGTTTTTGGCATGTGCCTTGAGGCTGGTTTTTAGGGAAGCCCATTCTTGGGCCTCAGCTGAGCTCAGCCCCTGGGTGGCAAGCATCTTCATTTCGATGGAGATGCTCCCCAAGAACAGCAGAGGTGGCAACTTGAAGTGTATATGGAGGAGGCTGGAGCGCAAACCCTGAGGTCCTGGCGTCCCGCTCGCCCGGCCTCGGTCCACCCTAGCCGACCGCATCTCCACAGAAGCAGACCAGCTCCTAGCTCATGGGCCAACGTTGGAGGGAGAAGAAACCAGCACACGGTTGAGGAACCGCCATGGTGCTTCCTTCCCAACCAGGATGCAACGGCAATATTGCACCAAAATGCATCTTAACAGACAAAACCGGCCCAAAGAGGAAAAGGATGGAGAAGGGCAAAGCCCTGAGATCTCCACACCACACATCAGTGCAGGGTCCTTTGAGTACCCTGACCCTGCGGGGACGAGAAGAGCCATTCATGCTCCAGCAGCACCCAGCAGACCTCAGACATTCCCACCTGCCAACAAGGAGACGGAGCCACTGAGCCCCCTCCACTCCCCCGGGTGCAAACCATCTACCTGGACCCGGCTCACCCTCATGCCGCCCCCGCCCCGCTATCTGTTCGACCGAGACTCAATGATGCACGCAGCAGGAACCGGGATTTCCCAGAGACGCCAGAGCAGCAGAGCCACATCACAGAGACCCCAACACCTCAACTTGCAAATTGCTTCTGCCTCCCGAACCACTGCACATCAACATCTGTGCTGGACATGGGCCAGGCTGCTGTGCTGGTCCGAGCTCTCTGAAAAGGGCTGATGAAGCAGCCCAGGTCCAGGCTGATGATCCTATGGACTGACTAGTAAAATATTAAGAAATCCAGGACTTCCCTGTTGAGGCTGTTCGTGCAATGCAGCAGAAAGGCTCCACAGAGAGATGTCTTGGAGGCAGGGGCTGAATTGCAGCTGCGTGCAGGATTTAGCACCCCTGCTCATGCCTTATGGGTGCCAAGGCGCTGCTGCCTGCAGCCCGGCAGCTCTCGTATTGTGCAGGGACCCTGCTTCAGACTGCGAACGATAAAATGAGCCTCTCTACCTCTCACCAGCCCTGCCACCATTGCACACGCCTGCCAGCCATGCGGGGAAGCAAGGGGTGCAGCTACCCGGGCTGGCCTGCCACCCCTGGAGCCAGACCCCCCTATGCAGTGGGGATGGGAGCTAAAGGCCAAACTGGGTCTCGGTTGTGCCCGCGTTATAACTGGGCTGAGCAGACTGATCCCTGGGCCTGGCTGCAAACTCTCCAGGAGCGAAGGAGCTGGCTTAGCAGGGAGTCCCGGGTCCTGGTTGCAGCTCGAGAGCCCTGGTGAAGCAAAGCGCTCCATCTCTCACCCCCAACGCACGCTGCACAAGAAGACCCGGTCCTCCCACGCCGAGCCGCCAGCCCCCGGTACGGCAGGCTATGGATTTTCCTGTCGATCCTGAGATCGATTTCTCTCCTCGAGCATGATGGGGTAATTGCCTGTAAAGGCAGACGCAGGGAGCCGGCTATCGAGCGAAGAGCTCTGGGCTCCCGGTGGGAAAGACGGCTCCTCAGAGACCCGCCAGCAACTCGGCTGCTGTGGGGGCCAAGGGCACGCGACGGTCCTAGGCAAGGAACTCAGAGGAAGACTGGGGAAGAGGCCAAGACCCCTCTGGAAGTGCCCCCTTCTCTCACTTGTGGGCCACCCCCTCCAGCTCCCCAAAGCCTTCGTCTCCTACATACGCCAAGAAAGTCTGCGGATGGAGAACGGACATGAGAACAGGACGGGAGGCAATGGCGAGGGGTCCCAACCAACCATTTGTGGCTGTTATGATGATTCATAAATAAATTCATAGACCGTCAGGGACCTTGCATATCATCGGGGAACCACCACCGCAGTCGGTCTCGTCCCCGACGGGGGTCTTTCCACCACCTAAGTGATGCACCCAGGTGCCCGGCGGTGACCGAGGCAGCTTCGCTCTCCTGATCTCCCAGCAGGGAATGAGACCTCCTTCCCAACCTCCTCTAGGAAAACCCCAAGCCAAGACCCACTCAGGAATCACAGCCAGAAAAGTGGCCTGGAAAGCTTTGATCCAGCACTAAAAAAAAAAAGAGGAAAAAAAAGCCCAACTTGAGTGGCAGCAAAAGCCATAACCTGTCAGAATTCAATTAAAAAATAGACACAGCGAAGGAAATAGGTTCTTGTTTCTCAGGAAGCGTAACAAGTCTAACAGGAGCCCCCCTGGGCTTTCCTAAAAGGCATCAGCAAATCTGCTGAACCTCGCCGTGCTTTAAAATATAACAGCTCTGGCCGAGCTGCAGGCGTTCACACTTCAGATTAGCTATGAACATAACTCGCCGGCCATCGTGGCTTTAATTATTCGGCTCCCAGTGCGTTACCCCCCGCCTTCATTCGCACGAAGGAACAACCAGGGTCAAGAGGCACCCCCCGGTGCTCCCGGAGGCAGGGACCGAGGGAGCGCGGGCTGGCAAGCTGCATGCAGAAGACGAGGACGCTCGCATTCGTTTCCAGGATGATAAACATACCGGCGAACTGAAAATAACAAGGCAGAGCGGCATCACGGGCATGCACTGAAGCAGCATGCGGCATCCTGTGGAATTAGGAGCCAAGGCGAAAGCAGAGACAAGGAGCGGGTAATGGAAACAAACACAGTGAGACCATTTAATAGGTTCCAGTGGGACCCGGAGTGAGAGGAGGCAAAAATTCAATAGCGCTCGGCCCATCCTCCCGGTGGCCTGAATCCGTGCAGAGGATGAGCTGGCGAGGCAGCTCGCAGGTTGCCCCCGTTTTCTTTCTAGCACTGAGCTCCGCTCTCTAAATGCGCTCACCGCAGCCACGGCTCTGCAGCAGGTCACTACGGTTCATAGGCTGGCGCATCTATTTTTTAAGCGCTCTGCCCTTGTGTTTCTATATAGGGCGCTGGGGCTTCAGCCCCAAAACACAGAGGCAACACAACAGAGTAACAAAGAGATGGCATTTTGCATCACCAGAGTCTTTCAGCAGTGATCCCTGCACCGCGCTTTCAGCCTGCCCCGCCTAGTCTGCGCCCGAGGTCTTGCAAGGGGGACGGAGGGCAAGCACCGTGCGTTGCCTCCTGGGGCTGTCGACTACGACATGAAGCCAACGAACCCCAGCCCCATGCCGCAGTGTAAATGCTGCAATGGAGAACCCACTGCTCTTTAAATCAAGCTATTTTCTAAACGCGAAGAGCGCGGGAGGTTTGCAGAGAAGACTCTGGCATGACTGTGCTGCAGAGATCATAGCTACTCAATATCTTGCCATTTGGGCGCCATGCACTTAAACCCGACAGCAGCAGCCACCACCCAGGGGCCACGGCAGAGTTGAGACCCTTGCGTTCATGAACTTGTCCAGCTCCATTTTAAAATGAATTGGGTTGTTTGCTTCCTAATTCTCCTGTCGCTACTCTGACAGGTTAAGACCCTTCTTCCTCGACTCCCGGAAACACCATCCCACTGCTCCCGCGCGGTAGCCAGACGCAATCCCTTCAGCCTCCTCATTTCACTCCACTTACTTTCTGCAACGTAGCCTGCGTGTGCACAGCCCCTCACTGGGCTGCCTTCCCTGCTAACCTAGCACCAGCACAGCCCTGGAAGGGCCAGGACCGATTTTCCCTGTGGTCATGGGGACTCTTCCAAGGCCTGCCAAGTGCTTTGCATTTTGCAAGATATCTTTCAACAACCACCAAAAAAGCCAAAAGTCTTCACTTCAATTTACAGCTCGGGAAGTCACCAAAGGAGAGTTTTGCTCTGCAGGGCCCTTGGAGTCAGGACTCCCGGGCTCCCATCTTTAGCAGTCAATTTGGCATTTCAGACAGTCTCTTTAGCACCGAAGTCGCTTGTCAAAATAGACGCTGCTGGAAGTTTTACCCTGGTGGAATAAAGCCATATTTGTTCCAAAGTTTTCCACAGGGAGTTTTAACACAGAGCTCCCCTGTCCATAACAAACTTTTGGTATTCAAGCTCACCTAAGAAACTCCCATGTTAACATGTGGACCTCACTGCCAAAGGATATTATTGCAGAGCTCATTAGCCTAATCTAGTTCAAAGAGGATTTAGCCAAATTGCTGCAGAATGGGTCCATCGGGAGCAGCAGGCAGGGGCGTGATCTCCTTGTGGGCTCTGGGAGAGCATGGCAATGGATGGATCGCTCTTCCCTCCTCCTGATGCTCTGCCTCAAAAGCCTCTTCTGCGCGCTGCTGATGGAGGCAGGATACTGGGATAGCTGGACCATCCACCCTCCGGCAGTCCTTGCATTTGTCGCTACGCAGCTTTTGAGTAACAAGTGGCCAAAAAAGCCAGAACGGCTCTGAACTCAGACGTGTCATCGCCGCCTCGTATTTTAAAGGGGGAAAACGGGGAAAGAAGAGGCAGGGATTTTTCTATTAAAAGCACCTTCCTCTCCCCACCCCCGGATAAAAAGAAATGCTTGGTCATACATCCATCCCAACACAGCCGGCTTTGAGCCTGGTCCCCCGCGGACGCCTGCACTGAAAGCAGCCGACACATGGTGCAGACTTGTATCGGAGCAATTAGCAGCTCCCAACAGGCCCCCGGACTCGAATGGGAGGAGCGAGGCTGGAGCAGGGCAGGACTGTGGGGAACGGCAGAGCCAAGCCTGGAAGAGAGGGGGGCAGCAATCGGAGCAGAGGGGCACTGGCACAGCTGCGGAGACCCAGCTGGGAACAGAGAGCAGCGCCCCTCTTTGCTGATCCATCATAGCTCAGCGGCGTACGATGCTATTGCTTAAGACCTGCCTGCTTTACTTCCCAGCC